GTCTCTCCTCAAAAGTTATCAATACTAACAATTTCAGCCAGACAGTGTGGCACATGGCATTGGACCAATTTATCAATTTCATTGTATTTATAATTAAGCCTAACAAGAAACAGCAGGAAAAAATGCCAGAATGTAGAAATAATTTCAAATTATTATCCAGAACCAAAGGTTTACATACAGGAGTTTACATGAATAATAAGTTTGAAACTATTTTACAGGAAAAAACTCTTTTACATGTTTAATAAAAATACATACCTGAAGCAAACCATATTTCATTTCTACATCATAAAGTTTATAATCTTTAATGTCTGGAGATATAGAAGAAGGCAAATTTTCCCAATTACCAAGAACATTCGCTAAACTGGCAAAAACTGGCTCTGTACAAAATGCCAAGCAGTCCCTGTTTAAAAAAAAAAGAATTATTACTATCATTCCTACACTTCATCAAAATCAAATATACATGACATATCAGAGGTCTTATCTTATTAAGCTATCAATAAAATAGACTGTTTTTGATTCGTGAATTCCAACAAAATTATAATAAACTTCAATCAACAACATCAGGAGGTTTTGTGTATACCTCCTGATAAATCGCAAACTTTTAAATTAAATACTGTGACAAATACATTTCTTAAAACTTAAAAAAGTCAGGAAGTAAAATACTATTTCAGATGATTGTATCTTTAGGGAAACAATGAAACTGATTTAATAAATATTGTTGCAGAGATTCCAAGATACGGCTAGAGGTAGGAAGCAGAAAGCGACCCTCCTATAGTGAAATCTTTGGAGAGAACGCATAGGGAGACACACTTTGGCAGGCATAATCACTGAGAAAAAGGCGTAACTTTGACCCCTCACACCTCCAGCTGGTGCAGAGAATCTCCACTCACGTTTTAAACGTGGAAACCGAGGAGGCCCCGGGGCCGCCAGTGGCCGGCGACAATACGGCGTGGGAAGACTGCGGACTAGGTGAGCTTCGCTACGTACCGCGGTAGTAAGCCCACAGACAAGCCTGGCCAGAGCAGCATAGCCCCCTGGACAGACTGACCGCCAGCCCAGGAAAAAGAGAAAACTGAGTACTAAGCCCAATAAGAACAGTTAGACACCTGGAAAGAGGGTGGTGGCGGCCCTGGACGCTGAAGAATTGGGGGAAGGGAATCCTTCCCGGGACTGTAAATAAACGAGCCTGGGCCCGGAGAGGCTCTGGCGGAGCGGGGCGCGCCCAGCAACGGAGCCGGGGCACGCTGGAAGGAGGAAGACCACTTCCCACGGTGAACTGTAAATAAACACGCAGGCCTGACAACGCGGGGCAGTGTCACCTTTCCCAGTGCTTGGAAAGGGGAAGCCGTTTAGCAGAGGCCTCCGCACAGGAGAACTCTGAGCAAACAAAGCCTGTGGGCCAGTGAGGCTAGCTCACCCCAGAGATCTGCATAAATAACGCCGCCAGCAAGGCTGAGAGCAGCAGGCAGGCAAGCCA